AAAGAGGAACTACTATCTAATTATTGGAAAATATTAGTTAGTAACTTAGGAATCATTTGCATATCAACGGGCTTTCCATTTAGAAATATGAAATATGAACATTGCTAGCATTATTCCATTGATGGAGACACAACCTTGGTTTCTTAATCAATTTAATCAAATCATATCAACGAAATAGCTTTTATTGATAATTCGCAATTACAAAACTTGGTTTATAATTAAAGGACTAGATCTACGACTTAAGTTAAGTATCACACTATTTTAGTAACTTATTCACTCCTATTCCCTGTGAGATTCAACCCCAACCTAGTTGGGTTATTATATTTGACACCGATCGCTTTACACCAAGTATATAGGTGTAACGTATAAAATTTTGGCATCGTTGCCGGGGAATACGGTTTTGAAATTACTAACTAGTGTGTACTTCACTTTATGTCTTCTTCTATTCCACCACACTTTGCTTGTTTTGCCTGGTGTCACTAGGTAAACGTGGGCGATCCGGAAGAAGAGAATATTTTTGCGGATATGGATGAGTATATTGAGGATACAAATGCCATTGTCCCTCCAAGAGTTGATATTGCCACCTTCAAAGTGAAACACAGTCTAATCCTAATGCTCAAGGTAGGGGAAATTTCCAAAATTCCACAGATGATGATCTGACACAACATCTTAGAAATATTTTGGGTGTGTGTGCAATGCACAAGCAGAATCACGTCTCAGATGATGCCCTAAGATTGAGGGTGTTCAAGTACTCTCTAACTGGAGAGGCAAGACAATGGATCCAAAATCTACCGCCTAATTCCATTCATACTTGGCCCCAACTTGTCCGATCTTTCCTAGCAAAATGGTTTCCACAAAGAAAGAAATTCGAGCTCCGGGATAAAAGTTTCTTCTTCAAGCAATTACTAGGAGAGCATCTACATGATGCATGGGATAGATTCAAGCTATATTTGGTAAGGTCGTTGAATCATGGATTTCCATATAATATTCTATTGGAGAAGTTTTACATGGGCTTGGACCCTATGAGTCAATCCAAAGCCAAAAATGCAACGGATGGATCCTTTATGGACAAAACATTTGAAAGGGTCACACAAATCCTCGACAAGATGGTTGAACATAACCAAGCCTGGCACTCGGAAGATACCACAGGTGGAATTTCATATGGTACTCCCTCCTTGACCAACATGATTAAGGAGAACCAAGAAAGATATCAGATAATTGTCGGGCTTGCCACTAGCGTCAACATATTGACGCAAAAGTTCACTGAAAGCCAAACAAAAAAGGTAAATGTTGTGGAAGATGCGCAACCTATGTTGAATGAGGAGTACGAAGAAGCAAATTATGTCAACAATCCTCAAGGAGGATATAAAAGACAATCTTACCAACGTTTATGACAACAACACCAATAGAAGTCTAACCCGCAAGGGCAAGGAAACTAACAATGGAGAAATGACCAAGGTAATTCCAATCAAGGAAATTGGAGTAACAACAACAACAATTTTTCAAATAGGAGTTTAAAGCCCTATGTTCCACCAAAGGGGCAATACTATAATTCTCCGCATTGGAAAGAAATCTCTTCAAACGATTCCAAGTTAGAAAGCATGCTTGAAAGAGTGTTGCAAAATCAGGACAGATCTGACACTTTAATGAAGAATATGACCGAACTAGTGGGTTCTCACACTGCATCTATTCAAAAATTGGATATCCAAATTAGGTATCTCTCAAGAGAACAAAACCTGAAACTGAAGGGCACACTCCCAAGTGATACAATTGTCAACCCGAAAGGTAATAGAAGTGGTCCAATATCTCATTGTATGGCAATTACAACTAGAAGTGGGAAACTACTTCAAGGAGAGAATGAACAAGTAGTTGAAGTGGAAGATTTGGAACAAGAAGTCGAGGCACAAGTTGAGGTACCAAATTTTGTTGAAGTTGAAAGACTCCCGAAGAAGGTGAGAAGTCAAGAAGTGAGCCATAAAGAGGTTAAGGAAAAGGTAATAGAGGCACCATAAGCTCTAGCACCAATTCCTAGGCCTCCTCCTCCTTTCCCTCAAAGACTTGCTAGGAAGGTTGACGATAGCAAACTTGAAAAGTTCTATGACATTCTCAAGCAATTATCGGTGAACATTCCATTTGTGGAAGCATTTTAAGAGATGCCGGGTTTTGCTAAGTACTTGAAGGAATTGATCACTAAAAAGAGAACCACCAAGCATGAAGTGGTGAATGTGACTCATCGGGTTAGTTCCATCATTTCCACAACCACCGTCCAAAAGAAAGAGGACCCTGGAGCCTTCACCATTACATGCACTATTGGGTTGCGCGATTTTGCATGAGCCCTTTGTGATAATAGGGCTAGCCTCAACTTAATGCCCCTTGCTATTTACAAATAAGCAGGATTAGGTATGCCTAGGCCTACAAGTATGAGGTTACAAATAGCCGACCGTTCAATAAAGCGACCGGTGGGAATTATTGATGATGTTCTTGTGAAAGTGGGGAAGTTTCTCCTTCATGTCGACTTTGTTATCCTCGATTGTGCTGTTGATAAAGAAATCCATATCATATTGGTGAGACCATTCCTTATTACCGGTAGAACACTCATGGATTCGAAACAAAATGAGATCAAGTTTCGAGGTAATGACGAAAAGGTTACCTTTCAATCGAGTAATGGTATGAAATTGCCACATGCATATGAAAGTATCTCAGTCATTAATGTTGTTGATGAGGTAGAGGATGCAGTCGAAGTGAAGATGGAAAAAGGATGCCTTGGTGAGGCATTGGCGGCTATTTTGGTAAATTTTGATGGTGATGACATGGAAGGATACATGGAATTGGAAAATGCATTGGAAGGGCCCCATCCTACACTTATACACCAAAGAAGCTTTTTCTTGACTTAGAGAATAGAGTCACTCCTCCAGGTAAGCCTTCAATTATCGAGCCACCACAACTTGAGCTCAAGCCACTTCCACCACACTTAAGGTATAAATTTATAGGCTCTAATGAAACTCCACATGTAATTGTTTCTTCTTTGTTGAATGATGTGCAGGTTGAACACTTATTGAACACCTTGAGGGAGCACAGACAGGCCATTGGGTGGACTATAGTGGATATCTGAGGGATTCCCGCCGGAATTTGTGAGCACAAAATATAATTGGAGCAAGAGATAAAACCTAGCGTGGAGCATCAAAGAAGGTTGAACCACTCCATGCAAGAGGAGGTGAAGAAAGAAATTATAAAATGGTTGGATATCGGGGTTGTCTACCCTATTGTCGATAGTCCTTGGGTGAGTCCGGTGCAATGTGTGCCAAAGAAAGGAGGCATGACCGTGATTCAACAAGAAAAATTTAACTCATCCCAACGAGGACGGTGACCAGGTGGAGAGTTTACATGGACTACCGAAAGCTAAATAGTGCTACTTGCAAAGACCATTTCCCTATGCCTTTTATTTATCAAATGCTTGATCGACTAGCGGGAAGGTCATTTTATTGCTTCTTGTATGGTTATTCTGGCTACAACCAAATCAACATCGCCTTAAAGGATCAAGAGAAGACAACATTCACATGCTCGTATGGGACCTTTGCCTTTAGCTGGATACCATTTGGGATGTGCAATGCCCCGGCTACCTTTCAACGGTGCATGATGTCAATCTTCTCGGACATAGTGGAGGATTTCTTAGAGGTATTCATGGATGAATTTTCTGTTGTTGGTGATTCCTTTGAGCATTGCCTTGACAACCTTAGGTAAGTGCTCAAAAGATGTGAGAAAACAAACCTTGTGCTAAATTGGGAAAAGTGTCACTTCATGGTGGACGGGGGTATTGTTATGGGCCACAAAATTTCCAAGCAGGGCATAGAGGTTGATCGGGCAAAGATCGAGATCATTTCCAAGCTTCCTCCTCCCACTTCAGTAAAAGGCGTTTCGGAGATTTTTGGGGCATGCTAGTTTTTATAGGTGATTTATCAAAGACTTCTCAAAAACTGCAAGTCCCATGTGCAAGCTCCTTGAAAAGGATGCAAAATTTGACTTCGATGAGAAGTGTCTCAAGGCTCTTGAGGAATTGAAATCAAGGCTCACCACGGCACCTATTATTGTCACACCCGATTGGTCTCTTCCATTTGAACTCATGTGTGATGCCAGTGGTGTAGCTATTGGAGCGGTACTTGGTCAACGGCATAACAAGGTTCTTCACCCTGTCTACTATGCAAGCAAGACACTCAATGGTGCACAAATGAATTATACTGTGACAGAGCAAGAACTACTTGCTATTGTCTATGCTTTTGAGAAATTCCGGGCCTATTTGTTGGCGCTCCAAAGTGATAGTCTACACCGATCATGCTGCTCTCTGTTACCTTATGGTGAAGAAGGATGCTAAACCAAGATTGATTAGGTGGGTTCTTTTGTTACAAGATTTTGACTTTAAAGTCAAAAATTGGAAAGGAACAGAGAATCAAGTTACGGATCACTTATCTAGGCTTGAAGAACCAGGGAGATGAAAATAAGATCTTGAAATTAATGATGCCTTTCCGGATGAACACATATTGGCAGTGTCTAAAACTTTTACTCCTTGGTATGTTGATATCGTTAACTTCTTGGTTAGTGACCTTATCCCTGATGAATTGGAAGCTTATCAAAAGAAAGAGTTCTTGCGGGAGTGTAGGAAATACTATTGGGAGGAACCTTCTTTGTTCCGTATTTGCGCCGACAACATCATTTGGCATTTTGTTCCGGAAGATGAGATAATTCAAATTCTCAAAGCATATCATGACTCCCCAGTTAGGGGCCACCATAATGGAAATCGTATTGCAGAAAAAGTGCTTGAGTGTGGCTATTATTGGCCATCGATCTACCAAAATGCAAACCAATTGGTCAAGTCATGCAATCAATGTCAAAGACAAGGGTCAATTTCTAGAAGGCATGAGATGCATATGAACTTTGTGATGGAGGTCTAGATCTTTGATATGTGGGGGATAGATTTCATGGGTCCCTTCGTAAGATCTTACGGCATGACATATATCTTGGTTGAAGTAGATTACGTCTCCAAATGGGTCGAGGCAATTGCCTTGACGAACAATGAGGCTAGGAGTGTAACTGCCTTCTTGAAGAAGAACATATTTACTTGGTTTGGAACCCCAAGGGTCATCCTTAGTGATGGTGGTTCTCACTTTTGCAACAAAGCTTTTGTCGGGTTGCTTGAAAAATATGGAGTTAAGCACATGGTGGCCACCCCTTATCATCCTCAATCGAGTGGTCAAGTTGAAGTTTCTAACTGGGAGATAAAAAACTATTCTAGCAAAAACTGTTAATACAAACAGGACCAACTGGTCAAAGAAGCTAGATGATGCATTGTAGGCATATCACACAACATTTAAGATTCACATTGGCACCTTACCATACCGGTTGGTTTTAGGTAAAGCTTGTCACTTGCTAGTGGAGCTTGAAAATAAAGCTATGTGGGCATTGAAAAAGTTAAATCCTGACTGGGCCGAAGCTGCTAATCTAAGAATGACACAAATCAACGAGATGGAAGAATTATGTTTTTATGCCTATGAGAATGCAGCCATGTTTAAGGAAAGAATGAATTTTGTTCATGACAAGAAGATTTTGAAGCGGGAATTCAAATCTGGTGACTTGGTCTTACTCTTCAACTCTAGACTGAAGTTCTTTCCGGGCAAACTCAAATCCAAATGGTTTGGCCCGTTCAAAGTTGTGAATGTGTCTTCCTATGGCGCTATTGAATTGGAATCTGGGACGGGACTCGAAACTTCAAAGTAAATGGCCAAAGAGTCAAGCATTACCTCGGAACCATTGGATAAAGGTATTTTGTAGAACAATTCGCACTCAAGGATGGTCCTACACCAACCCCCACCATTGATTAGCCAAAATGGGGGCAACATTGTTATGTTGCAACGTTAATTCAAGTGCTTCTTGGGAGGCAAGCCATGTCTGGTAACACTTTTTGGCTAGATTTTTAATTTCGGGAAGTTTATTTGCAAGTGTTGAACAGTTTGACATGTGTGTTAGAATGCAGGTGACCCAAAATACAAGGAAATAGGATTCAGGGGCATAGAAAATGGAGGAAAAGAAAGCCAAGCTTCAGTTATATTATACGGCAACATATGCGGCCGCATAAAATATTTGCAGACCGCATAGTGGTCACAAACACAAGCAGAAAAAATACAAACTGGGCCTTAATAAATGTGGTGAAAATTCATTTTCTGTGTCCCGCATATGGATTATACGACCGCAGAACTGATCGCAAATTTGTTGCGCACCACTCAGTCACTTACCCATATCATGACACATATGCGGTCGCATAATATGTTATGCGATGCACTGCCTCACCGGAACCTAACAGGTATTAAGCCCTAAGTCCCTCGCTCATTTCCCTCGTTCATTTACACTCCCACACACATGGGCACAGAGAATAACCCAAAAGAAAAGAAATAAAATATCAGAAACATTAAGACAAACAAAATTAAAAAGGGGGAGGGGAATTGAAAAGGAAAGACCTACCTTGCTCGCGATTCAGACCGAAATTCTCCATCTTTCGATATCTGGTATGTCCATTTCCATCCTTTCTCTTGCTTAGACAACTTAAAGAGTTCAATCTGCTTTCATTACACTCCTCTTTATCCCCAACTCCTTGCTATGGGTAATCATTTGTGAGTGATTGTACTGAAAATCAACACTGGGGGAAAATGCATGCTATGGGTAAATAGAAATTTGGGGGTTCGAATTAGGGGGTAAGAATACAGTGAAGGGGTTGGAAAGTTGTGAAAATATGCATAATGTATTGCCCTGATGGCTAAGTGTGCTTGTGAATTTGGGACTGAGTATGAATTTGGTGTTTGTGCATTTGCATGTGAATACCTTTTTGATAAGGAACGATGATCTTTGCGATCCGCATAACTGGTTGCAGTCTGCAGAGTCATCGCATATTGCATGCTAGCAAGTTTTCTAGAAGCCCATGTGCGGTTGAGTTTGTGACCGTAGAAACGTTTTGCGGGCCGCACAATGGTCGCAGATAGTGGCAGAAAAAAAAGCCAAACCTAAAGAATAAAATGCGACTAGTCTGCGGTCGCATAGTTGTTATGCGGCCACTTCTGCGGACCACACAACTTGTTTTGCTTCTGAGGGTTGTATTATGCGAAATGTTTTACGGCTCGCAAAGTTGTTTTGTTATCGCATAACTAGTCGCAGAACCATCTTTGTTTTTCAATTCCTTCCCATATGTTACCCATGCCTTATCATTTACTCACTCCTTATTAATTGACAGGAATATCACCAAAGAAAACCAAAATCATAAGTCTACTAGAGTACGTGCCAAGACCTGGTGTCACAAGTACGCGAGCAATCTAGTAGAATATACAAAAGAGTACTAGCCTACTGTCTGAAAGGAAATAGACAGACAAAAAAAGTAGAGCATAAGAGAGACCCCAGCTGCTGCAGGACGGCTCAGAAGGCAGCTCACCGTGAAGTCTCGAGATAGGGATCAAAACTACGCACTAGACTGGTAACCAGCCGCACCAGCCTCAGATCCTGTATAATTAAGTACAGAAGTGTAGCGTGAGTACATAAAATAATATGTACACAGTAAGTATCCCTCCCAACCTCGAAGAAGTAGGGATGAGGGGTCGACTTCGATACTTACTAGGGTCAATAACATGATAATATGAGATTCTAATTAAGCATGTATACAACAATAAGACTTCGAACAAGAATTTAATTGGTCAAGAAATAACCATTTTTAAGAACTTAATTACTTGCTTCCTTTAAAACATGTGATCACACAGGCAATGAATCCATATTAATTATGTAAGAAACTTTCAGTTCTACTGTCACACACAATACCACCGAGGACGTTCGGCCCGATCCAACATAAATATAAGTTGTGCACTGCCAGGGTCGAACGGCGCGAACCATAGATGCATCTATTTTCCTTGCTCGTGAATCATGCATGCGACGTGGTCAAACATAAATTTACGGAGTTACCAAGCTCGCGAATCATACATGCGATGCGGTTACACAAAGATCTCATAAATTTTGATAGTACTATCCCATTGTTTTCAAAATACAACATTCAAATGAAAACTTTTAAGATCCCATTATTTTTCCTCAATTACAATTCCTTTTGAAACATTTAATAAGCATACTCCATTCCACCCTTCTCAAGGAAAACAGTATACATAAAGCAATAACAATATAAACAAGACATGGTGTAAGCATCAGACTACCCGGACATAACAAGAATAGACTCTCGTCACTTCGTGCGTACGTGGCCCCCCACAAACAACAACACATATTAATTTAGTTCACCTATGGGGAAATTTCCCTCTTACAAGGTTAGAAAGGAGACTTACCTCATCTCAAGGCCTACTTCCCAATTCAAGAACACGCTTAAACCTCCAAATTTGATGCCAAACGACTCGAAGCTAGTCAAACATTACATAAACTAATCAATCTATGCTCAAAGGTTCATAATTCTACCATTTAAGTTATTACCCAACCTAAATTGCAAGATTCCTAAAATTTACCCCGGGCCCAGATGCTCGGATTCCAAAAATGTTTAAAGAAAGTTGTTACCCATAACTTTAGGAACATAAATATATAATTTTTACTAAATTCTATAACGAATTTCGTGGTTAAATCTCATTTTTATCAAAAACCTAGGTTTTCATCTAAACCCGTAATTTTTATTAATTTACATGTTATAACCTACCCATAAACCATGTATTTAACTCACATTTGATAGGAATTACTTACCTCAACTAGTTGATGGAAATACCCTCTCTAACCAGCTCCAAAATCGCCCCCAAGAAGAGTAAGAAGTGAGCAAAAGTGCTCAAACCCCGATTTAAAATATCACTGCCCTTCAGCGACTTCCACACCTGCGGTTAAATTGGCGCACCTACGATTTCGCTTCTGCGGACAAACTCGCACAGGTGCAGACCAAAGCTAGGCTACCTCATCTCACTTCTGTGCCCAGGTGATCGCACTTGTGGCCACGCATCAGCGACAAATGATGCATATCTGCGACACTGCCCGCTCCTGCGATGCCTGCCTTCGTACATGCGCTTTTGCAGGTGCGGCCCTCCTTCCGCTTCTATGATGGTTGGGCAGCCTATGCTGGGATGCATCTGCAATCATGGGGCTCACACCTGTGAGCTCGCACCTGTGGATGACCAAGCGTAGGTGCGATTATGACAGCAGCTGGAGCTTCAGCTTTGGCTTCAAAATTCCAACTTGGTCCGAGCCTAGTCCGATTGACACTCGGGACCCCCGGGGCCCTGTCTGAACATACCAACAAGTTTGAAACCATAAAACGGACTCGTTCGAACTCTCGGAATGCCCAAAACAACATTAAAACTAAGAATCACACCCCAAAGCCAATTGAATCAAACCTAAGAACTTCAAGTTCTTCAATTTACTTCCAATGCGCCGAAACAGGCTTACACTACTCAGAATGACACCAAACTTTGCGAGCAAGTATTAAATGAAATTATGGAACTATTCTCAATCTAGGATTTTCGGTTGGACCTCGATAACATTAAAACCCGCTCCAAACCAAATTTTAAAGAACTTCTAAAACCTTCAAGAACCAACTTTCACTATTGGGCGCCAAAACGCTCCCGGGTCATCCAAAATCCAATTCGAACATACGCCCAAGTCCTAAATCATCATACAAACCTATTGGAACTGTCAAATCCCGATTCCGAGATCGTTTACTCAAAATGTTGACTGAAGTCAAACTTGGCCTTTCAAGCCAACCTTAAGGAACCAAGTGTTCCGATTGCAACCCAAACTCTTCCAAATCTCGAACCAACCATCCCCGAAAGTCATAAATCAGTAAAAGCATGTACGGGAAGTCTTATTTAGGGGAACGGGGTTCTTGAAAGCAAAATAACCAATCGGGTCGTTACATTCTCCACTTCTTAAACAAACGTTCGTCCTCGAACGAGTTTAGATTCATACCTGAAGTGCTGAATAAGTGTGGATATCTGCTATGCATGTCCTCCTAGGACTCCTAGGTCGCCTCCTCGATTGGTTGGCCTCTCCACTGAGCTTTTACCGTGGAAATCCTCTTGGACCTCAACTGGCGATCCTGCCTAGAAATAATAGCAACTGGCTCATCCTCATAACCCAAGCTCTCATCTAGCTAAATAGTGTTGAAGTCTAACACATGTGACAGGTCGGCATGATACCTCTAGAGCATAGACACGTGAAAAACTAGATGAACCCCTGATAGGCTGGGAGGTAAAGCAAGCTCATAAGCAACCTCCCCAACTTGCCTGAACACCTCAAATGGGCCTATAAACCTTGGGCTCAACTTACCCTTCTTTTCGAATCTCATAATTCCCTTCATCGGTGAGACCTTCAAGAGAACCTTCTCGCTTACCATAAATGATACATCATGCGCTTTCTAATCAGCGTAACTTTTCTGTCTGGACTGTGCTGTGCGAAGTCATCCTGAATCAACTTTACCTTTTCCAAGGCATCCTTTACCAAATTAGTACCATATAACTTAGCCTCGCCGGGCTCAAACCACCTGATGGGAGAACGACATCGCCGACCATATAAAGCCTCAAATGGAGTCATCTCGATGTTGGACTGGTAACTGTTGTTATAAGCAAACTCAGTCAAAGGCAAGAATTGATCCCACTATCCCCCAAAGTCAATCACACATGCTCTTAGCATGTCCTCAAATATCTTAACTGACCGCTCTGACTGCCCGTCGGTCTGAGGATGAAATGCAGTGCTGAGCTCTACACGGG